TTCAAAAATTCTGAAACAAAATTTTCATTATGTTTAAAAAATCGAAATTCAGCACAAAATTCAAATATTTGAATAGTTAAAATATATTTACATGGAATGACTCCCAAGTTTTACCCTCGAAAAAAATCGAGACCTATATGGTTGAATAGAGCGTAAAAAGTTACTTTAGGTTCCAAACGGAATAGTTGGTAAAATTTTTTTTGGGAGTTATGGTCCAAAAAGTACCAAAAAATGCCTAAATTTTCAAAAAATCATAACTTTGTCAGTTTATGGCCGTTTGTTGAAATTTAACAAACAGTAGATAGACAATTAATTAAACATTTGAGAATAAAATTTTTTAGTTTTTTTCCTATTGATTGGATTATTGACTTTTTGAAAAAATCAAAAAATTTTTCAATATCTAAAAAATCCTAGGTTAACTTTTTTTTCATTATGTCCATTGAATTCAGCACATTTGATTCACTATAGAACCATATCAATACCCCGGGGGAAATCATGCTCACACAAGTTATGCCGAAAAATATCAATTTATTGGCACTTGGCTTCTTTGAATTCGTTGTCCTCGGCGGCCGGTATGGTGAGGGGCATACTTGTTTTTGTAATTTTTACTTGCGCACCGTTTGCTTAGAGTGTTTGAAATAGAATCCTGCGACATACAAAGTCAATTTTTCAAATGCCGTACCATTTCTTAAAATCATCATCTTGAAAAAATCAAAATTTTGACATGTGACATGGCACATCTATAGTTAAACTTGATAGAAACGGCCAAACTATTTTTTTAACGTAATCAGAAAAACGGAATCTTATCAACGGCTTAAACAGAATTTTGATTTAGGCCATAGAATCAAAAATATTTACGATTTTTCGAGCCTGACCCCTATTTTTGGTGAAGTGTGACATGTGACAGGGCACATCTATAGATAAACTTGATGGAAACAGCTAAACTTTTGTTTAAACATGATTAAAATGACAAATGAAACAATAACATAGAAAAAGTGGAATCAACTTGGTCCCTGTGGTGAAAGTAGGTTAAATGAACGATTTCCGAAAGATATCCTTCCAGCTTCGGACAGCCGAAATCGACCTTTTTCCATTTCACCTATTTTCACGATACGAAACAAACCAATAACATTTGTCTAATAGTATTTTTTAATTTTAAATCGAATGGCGTTAACAGTTTTTTGATATTTTTTTCGTTCTCAAGTTATGATCAAAAACAAAAGGTGTCCCATCATCAGTGAATATTTTTATTTTTAGGGCCTAATTTAAAATTCTGTTCAAGCCGTTGATAAGATTTTGTCTTTTTAATCATTTTTAAACAAAAGTTTAGCTGTTTCCTTCAAGTTTATCTATAGATGTGCCCTGTCACATGTCACACTTCACCAAAAATAGGGGTCAGGCTCGAAAAATCGTAAATATTTTTGATTCTAGGGCCTAAATCGAAATTCTGTTTAAGCCGTTGATAAGATTACATTCTTCTGATTACGTTAAAAAAAAGTTTGGCCGTTTCTATCAAATTTAACTATAGATGTGCCCTGTCACATGTCAAAATTTTGATTTTTTCAAGATGATGATTTTAAGAAATGGTACGGCATTTGAAAAATTGACTTTGTATGTCGCAGGATTCTATTTCAAACACTCTAAGCAAACGGTGCGCAAGTAAAAATTACAAAAACAAGTATGCCCCTCACCATACCGGCCGCCGAGGACAACGAATTCAAAGAAGCCAAGTGCCAAAAATCGATATTTTTCGGCATAACTTGTGTGAGCATGATTTCCCCCGGGGTATTGATATGGTTCTATAGTAAATCAAATGTGCTGAATTCAATGGACATAATGAAAAAAGTTAACCTATTAGGTTGGCGGGAAAGTCTTTGTCACTCTGTTTGTTTAATCACTGTTCTCGTATATGGAGGCTGTGTATGATATCGACTCTAGTGAATAACAAGGTGATAAGAACCTTCCATATAAACAAGTCCCCATCTCCTTCCCTGCTCCTCATCTGTAATTGAAACGATATGTTTGTTCCCACTGCTATTCACATCAGACATGTTTTGATTTACCTCTTCCTATCTCACACCACGATGAAGGATTCGGAAACTTTCTTGAAGAATGTGTACAACACACATGCCCCTCACTACAATACTATTCGCAATTGGTTCCATCGTTTCGAAAAAGATGACTTCTCGCTCGATGAAAAGGATCGCTCTGGGAGACCCCGTGAGTTGATTTGGACAAGCTGAAGCACGCATTGCAATCGGATCCATTTCAATCTAGCCGTGAACTAGCTGTCACATTCGGAGTTCACCATAGCACAGTCCTTGAAGGTTTGAAGTCTCTTGGAATGAGAAAACTTTTTGGTCGATTCATACCTCATCACCTGACTCAAGCCAACCTTGACCGCCGAGTCGACGATTCGATTACTCTTCTCACTCTCCACGCGGGCGATCGATGGCTGGACCGGCTAATAACCGGAGATGAGAAGTGGGTCTTCTACGATAATCACCACAGGAAATCCCAGTGGGTTGGAGAAGGAGAGAGCCCACAGGATGTCCCCAAACCCGACCTTCATCCGAAAAAAGTTATGCTCTCTGTGTGGTGGGGAGTGGACGGCCCCATCTACTGGGAACTTCTGCCCGAGGGCAAAACAATAACTGGAGACCTCTACACTACTCAACTACGAAACCTCAAGAAAGCAGTCGACCGTTCGGCCCTGAAAGACAAGAAAGTGTACTATCAACATGATAACGCTCGCCCACATGTTTCGAAACAAGTGAAGCAGGAGCTGATGGGATATGGATGGAATGTTCTCCCTCACCCCCCGTATTCTCCTGATCTTGCTCCTTCCGACTATTGGTTATTTGGCGATATGACACGTGCCTTCGAAGAAAGAAGCTTCAATTCCCGTGGAGCGGTCGAAGCGGCACTCAAACAATACTTTGCCTCACGCCCGGCTGGATTCTACCGCAATGGAATCCATAAATTGAGGGAACGTTGGAGACATGTTGTTGATAATGATGGACAATATAATTAATTATTCGGTTATTTTTTCTTTGAGAAATAAACTATTGAAAAAGTGACAAAGACTTTCCCGCCAACCTAATAGGATTTTTTAGATATTGAAAAATATTTTGATTTTTTCAAAAAATCAATAATCCAATCAATAGGAAAAAAACTAAAAAAATTATTCTCAAATTTTCAATTAATTGTCTATCTACTGTTTGTTAAATTTCAACAAACGGCCATAAACTGACAAAGTTATGATTTTTTGAAAATTTAGGCATTTTTTGGTACTTTTTGGACCATAACTCCCAAAAAAAATTTTACCAACTATTCCGTTTGGAACCTAAAGTAACTTTTTACGCTCTATTCAACCATATAGGTCTCGATTTTTTTCGAGGGTAACACTTGGGAGTCATTCCATGTTAGACATTTTGAAATTTCAAAAAATTCCATTCCGCGCACCTCCAGATTAGAAAAAATCAGCCCTGATTGAACATTATCTGACTGGAGAAAAGAAAACCATGTTTTTTACTGTGCGATTCAATCTGAAGATCAGTTATGTTGGTAGTTAGACTTTTATTGTTATACAGTACCGGTCAATAAGATGTAAAAAACGTGTTATTCATGTTTTCATGTTTTTTTGACCATTTTTAGCAGTATGTCAGGTTCCCAGCTATTTGTCGATTTCTGAAAGACGGCTTTTTTCTTTTCAGTACATTTTTTCGTCTGTTCACTTCCTTTTCAGTACAAAAACGGGTCAATAGCGTCTTTCAGAAACTGGGAAATAGCTGAAAAACTAAGAATTTTCAACTAGCAGTTTTCGAAAATTTATATGAATACAAATTTTTCAGATGAGCTTCAGACTTTTAAAGATGGTCAACTAAAGAATGTTTTTTTTGTATGTCTTATTGACCGTTGCTGTATATTTCTTTTTCCCAAATCTCCTCGTTTCCAGCCATTTCAAATCTCAATGTTTCTTTTTGGTTTGGCTTCAATGAGTGTGCCGATTGTTTTAACCTGGAACCATCTAAACGTGCCAGGATACGTTACATTCAATAAATTAACACAACGTTGGGATTTCATTGGCGAAGTGGTGAGGATTCTGATTTTTTCAAATTGGTAACGTCTGTTTTCCAGACTTTGAAAGACAGTTTTTTGTTTTTAAACTATTTCATGGCGGTTTTTTCTGTGTTGTCATTAATTATCAATAGTATATTATTAAAGTTCATATGCTGTGCCGCACAGTTCAACAAGAAAAAACAAGTGGAGATTCACTTAATAGTATTCACTTTCATCGAAGCTATTGTTCAATGCGCTGGAGTAGCAATCAGTTTCGCAAGAGTCTTCGATGAGGACCAACATCTCGCTGATTACGCATTCTATTTACCGTATGTCAGTGACGCTCTCAGCATGCATCAAGCTGTTTTGCTGTTCTGTTTCAGTGTGAATGTAAATTTTTTATGAAAACAATTTTTGAAACACGTGTTTTCAGTTGCGGAGACAAATCTTGGGAGCAATACTGTGTCGCAAGAAAAATTTAGTTATTGAGCCTGCCCATTATCAAGCGAACAGAGCCCGAATTATGAAGGTAGCTGTTTTTTTTCGATTTTTTGTTATGAAACCGATGATTTTTAGGAAATGCCTTCCGTTGGCTGAATTGATACGTCAAACTCTTTTTTTTCGGGTTTTGGAAAACTGGAGTAATTATTTTTATTTTTTGAACACATTTTCCAAGTAAGCTTCTAAACTCTAAAATTTCAAGATTCGTGATGTTTCATAGTTCAAAAATTCAGTCAGACTTTGGTCGAATGTAGCAGAAACTTGATCAGGATTATGAGAAGGAAAATCTAATAAAACCTATAATTACGAGTACAAACCAGAATTTTTAGTGAAAATGTCGAGCAATGAAAGTTAATAAAAGAGAAACTTTGAGATCTTTTAAAGTCTTGGTCAATGATCATCATATGAAGATCATGGACAAGATTGCGGTAGTTGTGAATAACAAAATGTGAACAGTCTGTTGAAAATTGAACTTGTTGGCTCTTTCACAGTTTAGGGTTTATTGGTTCATTCCAGTTCGAAAAAGATATTCATTTTGGATTCTGAAAAAATAGGGGACCCAATAAAAAAGATTCATAAAAAGAAACCCTGAAAAAGAGAGCTCAAAAATAGGGGACCCAGAAAAAATATTGTTAACCCAATCTAAAAATGGGTGACCATAAAAAACGTTGAAGAGGGGACCAACGGAATCATGTGCACGCGATGTATATTTGATTTTTCCTATATTTAGTTTATTTTGTTTCAGAATGGTTTTATACACGGGTTATCATCATATGGAGTGGAATTGAGATATAATCATCAAAAACTATTTTTTTTCAAGTTCAAGAGCACTCAAATTTGATGTATACCATATTTATTTGTAATTCATTAAAGGGGCCAGACAGCAAAAATTTCGGGGGAAATTTCAGGGGACGTGCATTCTGACGTCGCGGTGTTCGCACCTAAAACACGCAATCCCACGCGCAAACATTTTCATTTTTTATTTCCCGACTTTATTTTTTCAATTTTTAACGATTTTAAAGGTGGGGGGACAGGAGATTTTTCGTAGTTTTTTTTAGCTAGAGTATGCATTCTACCGTCACGGTGTACAACGCTTAATGTCACTCTGCGTACAGCTGTCGTCCTCGCCTTTATGTATGCAAACGGGCGTGCGCTTTCTATTTGCCCGCGTGGCTCAGTCGGTAGCGGCGCCGCACCCTCAATCATCGCCCTCACAAGTTCAACTCCTCGAGGGGCATGTTTGAACGGAATTTCGAGAACATTATTTTTTCATGTCCCCCCCCCACCTTTAAACATTAAAAAAGCTCTTTTTTCTTATTTATTATAAAATTCATATAAAATAGAATTTTTCATGTAAATTTCAAGTTCAATCGACCGATTATTCTGCCAGTGTGTGTGTTTTCTAAGACATGCGAAAAAAAACTACTTTCTCTCCGATAACCGTTTCTTCACCGTTCCTAGTTATCTCATTTTTTCTTCCCGTTGTTACTCTGGAAATAAAAAAAATGTTTTATGGCTGGAATTACAAAGACGACTCCATTTTTACTGCTTCCTTCGCCTTCCGACGACGAACCATGCACGAGAATGTTTTTAATTCTGTGATTTGTTTTCAATTGTTAGGTCCCTTTCTAAGAATTGATTGTAGTTTTCTTTTTCATAATTTATTTGTTAACATAATAAAACACATTTTTTTTCATTTTCAACTGATTTTGATATCACGGAGCTAGGCCTCGGCGGCACGCTGGTAGCTCTTCAGGAATTCCGAGTTCTAAAGTTCAATCCGAAAGAAACAAGAGAAGAAAAAAGTAAGAACACTAGCAGGGATTGAACCTCTGACCTTCTGAATACTAGCGTAGAGCGTTCCCACTACACTACGCGTGCAGGAGGCGACCAGGCGTTGATGCACATTATGAAGCGACGCTGCAGCAGCAAGGGCGTGAAGAAATTAGGGTGACAAAAAATAGCATTTTTTTCTTTGGGGAAGTGTTTTTTCAGGTTTTGAAGTACATAGCTATATTTATGCTTCAGAGTTACATCTATTGATAAAAAACAAAAATTTTGAAATTTTTGATGTTTCCCCCCTTTAATCTTATATGGAATGACTTCCAAGTGTTACCCTTGAAAAAAATTGAGACCTAGATGGTTGGAAAGAGCGTAAAAAGTTATTTTAGATTCCAAAAGGAATAGTTGATAAAAAATTTTTTGGGGAGTTATGGCCCAAAACGTACCAAAAAATGGCTATATTTTCAAAAAACATAACTTTGTCTGTTTTTGTTCGTTTGTTTAGATTTAAAAAACAATGAATGGACAATTTATTGATCTTTTGGAAACAAACTTTTTTTGATTTTTTTCCCATCGATTGGATTATTAATTTTTTGAAAAAATTGAAAAATCCTAGGTTAACTTTTTTTCATTATGTCCATTGAATTCAGCACATTTGATTTACTATAGAACCATATCAATACCCCGGGGGAAGTCATGTTCACACAAGTTATGCCAAAAAAGTCAATTTTTGGCACTTATATGCTTTGAATTCGTTGTCCTCGGCGGCCGGTATGACTATGGCCATACTTCTTTTTGTGATTTTTACATGCATACATTGTGATTTTTACATGTATAAAATTTAAACCCCCGTTAATATTTTAAACCCCCGTTAATTGTTTAAACCCCGTTAAATCATAAAGAGCCAAAATTTCAAGCCTTCGAAAATGAAAATCAGAATGAAAATCAGAAAGGAAATTATGTCACTATTCGATGCCTCCAACACATTCTCCGAACACCAATCAATTTTTGCACCAAGAAATGCCGATAATGCCGAAATTAGGAAGACCCTTAGATCCTATATCATCAATGCTTAAAAGGTCGAACTAACGTGCATAAAATAAAAAAAGGGATCAATCTAAAGAATTAAAGCATTTTTTGGGTTTTTTAATATGAAATGTTGACATATTTTTATATGTTTGGCATAAAATAGAATTTTCTTTAAAACGCTGATGTTCAGTGATGTAGATTCGATGTTCTATAATTTCCAGATTCGGAGGTTCTAAGCTTCTAAAATTTGAGTGTGTGAGACTCTGTGATAAGAATTTGCGAATACTAATAAAAGTAAAAATTTTTATTTCGTGATAACTAAATTTTCAAGATTCCAAAATTTGAGATATTATAAACTTTAAAGTTTAAAAAATCAAAAGTTCTGAAGTTTAGCAAGTCTGGTGTTAGGTACTTTTCAATTTCGAAACTCTGAAACTCGTTGACTTCGAGATTTAGAAATTCTGTATTCTTAAATGTTTTTTTCAAAAAAATGATCAAAACTCCATATCAAATTTGTTCACACATTTCTTGTTTCGGAAAATGATTCTGAAAGTGATTCGGGCGCCACGATGAAAACGCTTCACTACTCTTCTAGTGGCTATTATAGACTTTTTTGAGCAAACGCAGATGGTTAGAAAAAAACATGTAAGGAGCTGAGCCTCCCACAATAAAAAGAAATGGAAATGAGCAGAAGAAGAGAAAACAAATGTGCTGGCTCACAGAAGATGACCGTGCTGACGCGGCCTGGCGTGATGGATGATAATTTTTTGTACAAAGCGCCGGAAAAATGTTTTAGAGATTTTTAAAACAAGAAAAGTTTTTTTCTGTATTATCTGCATATTACCATGGCATGCTAAAAATTATTGTCTTCAATATTCAAGATTGTGTGATTCTCCTATATCACTCGTGAAAAGGCAGCTTGATTATAAAAAAGCCGATAAAAAGCAGACTCGAACAGTCGTGGTTTGACGACTCCGAAATGGCCAAAAACGGAAAGGCGAGGTTAGAAAGTTGAACTTCTCTATTTTTTGATCTTTGTGATTTAAAAATGATAGAAAAGGACAAGGCTGAAATTTTCACAAAATTCCAGAAAAAAATCCTAATTGTTTTAAAAGCTACATTGGTTTATTGAACGATATAGAATGATACAATAGAGGGGCTTTTATACTGGTTACATGATAAAGAATTTAATAAAAGAAAGTGATTGCGGGGGATGCAATGCACATTCCCCGGTGAATCACCATCAGAAGAGTGCGATTTAGCACACTAATAGTTATTTTTTCGAACATCGTTCGAAATTCTACATTTTGAGTCCATGTTACCCAATTTTTCACTTTTACAGTCTTTTTTTTTACAAAATTACGCTGAAATTTTTCGAAATGTATTTGTACATATTTTGAGAGCAAATACAACTTTTTGAAGATTTAAACTAACTTGTTGTGTCGTCTCGTCTGTACTTCCTTGAAATGGATGCGACACTGAAAAATATTGTTTAAAAAATGAATGGTAAGTCCGTTTTTTTGTAATGACATATTTTTCACCAAAATAAAAACTAATTTTCAGTTCAACTACTAGCCTACTTTTGAGTCAATGCCGAGTAAAAAAGGAAAATACGAAACGAAGTTTATGAAAAAATAAAAATGAGAATATTCAGTGCTGCTCAAAAAAAGCCCCAAACAAACATTTTTGAAATAAGTGATGAGTTTTGAGTGTCTGAAAAATTACTGATAGTTTTGAACTTGTTCGTTATGCCGCGCCCACATTATTCAAATCTGGGATTTCTCGGTTTAAACGCAGTCTAAAGAGACGCTTTGATCACAGAATACTTGATTTGCACAAGTATTGTCCTCTCCAAGAAGCCTTAACCTCTCTCTCCAGTTGGTGCGATGATGCAAAACTAGACCTAAACCAGTCTAAAACGGTAACTTTGACGCTAGGAAAACGTAGAAACGAAATTAACTATAAGATAAGGAATCAGGATATAAAAAGAGTAACTATCACAAGAGATTTAGGTTTTCTAATTTCTAGCAAGCTTGATTTCAGTGAGCATTGGAAAAAAGCAATCAATGCTGCTAAACTTATTATGACACGTGTCTTTAATCAGTACAATAGTAAAAAACCCCGTTTAATGATACTGCTCTATAAAACATTCATTCGTCCACTAGTAGAATATGGCACTTCAATAAGTTATCCCCCCAACAAAAAAGAACAAAGAAATATCGAATCTATCCAGAATTCCTTCACAAGAAGGCTTTATAGTAGGAATGTAGGCTAGATATATTACT